CCGGGGCTGCTGCTGCTGGGGCGGCTGCTCCCGGGGCTGCTGCTGCTGGGGCGGCTGCTCCACAAGCTGCTGCTGCTGGGGTGGCCGCTCCAGAGGCAGCAGCTGCTGGGGCGGCTGCTCCCGGGGCTGCTGCTACTGGGGCGGCCCCAGGGGCTGCTGCTGGGGCGGCGGCTCCTGGAGCTGCTGCTGCTGCGGTGGCCGTTTCAGGGGCTGCAGCTGCTGGGGCTGCTGCAGCGGAAAGTAGGACGGAGGGGAGGGGAAGGGCGCGGCCCCCATTGTGCCCTGAAGGGTGACGTGCTAGGGAGCCGCGCAGGTCCTCGAAAGTGCCGCGACGGGCGACGAGAGGGGACCGCGCGCAGGCCCCTAAGGCGCCGCGACGAGGCAACGGGAGGGGCCGGCTCGCGAGCCCCGAAAGTGCCGCGACGAGGCGACGAGAGGGACCTGCGTGCGGGCCCCCAAAACGCCGCGACGAGGCGACGGTCGGGGCCAGCGCGCGGGCTCCCAAGACGCCGCGACGAGGTAGGTACCCGCCGCGCGCTTCGGGGCGCACGGCGGGCAGAAAACCGCCACGCGCCCCGAGCGCGTGGCGGGAAGAAAAAAAGGTGGTCGTGCGCCACGGGGCGCACGACACACAATAGGGCAGCGGAATCGAGTGGGCCCACAGGCCAGGAGCGTTAAGCTCTAATACCATCTCAGAATCTTTAACAAAGGTAGGCTTAGAAGCCATGGTTTAGGTGCCTAGGTAATCGAGTTTTAGGGTGAGGAGAGAAGTGTCGAGAGATTTTTGAAAGAGAAGTGGTTTCACTAGGAAGAGTTGGGATACAAGTACAATGCCCTAAATTGGGTTGTACTCATTACAGAGTACCCCACTGCAGGCTAGACAGCAAATATATTCTGACAGCTGACCAATCCGAGCACCAATGCGAATGACGTACGGACAGCGAGCAGTACCTCGTGACCCGCCACGCTGACCGTAGCACTCACGAAGCTGCTAGGGCGAAAGGACCGCGCACGAACGACGCTGCAGCTGCACCTGGCCACTACAAGCAGCTGCCAAACTACTCACTCCAAGACGACTCCCACTACGACCACCCCGACAACCCCAAGTAGCGTACCACTCACGAAGTTGTTGGGGCGTGAGGGACTCACGCGGACGTCGTTGGAGCTGCATTTGGCCACCGCCAGGAGCAGCAGGAGCAGTGGTAGCCGCAGTAGCAATAGCAGTAGTCGCAGTGCGGCCATCCCTATAACCCCAACTAGTGTACCACTCACGAAGTTGTTGGGGGGTGAGGGACTCACGCGGACGCCGCTGGAGCTGCATCTGGCCACGTCAGGAGCAGCAGTAGCAGTAGAAAGAGCAGTAGCAGCAAGAGCAGCAGTAACAGAGGATAAATGCTTATCGCACCAAGTTTTTTACATTACGTTATTTTGGTATTCTACTAGAGCGCGCGCCTCGCACTTATCTCAAAGTTACATTCGCCGTGTTGAATTGTGAGTCCAAAACGACATATTTGTTATTGGTAATATATATAACCTTCCCTATCGAAACGCGCATACAGGAAGAAATATAACGCGTTCTGATACGGGTGCGACTCGGAGGCATCAACCCTAAACACCATGAATGTTTGTTTTTAGGGTTGATCCATCTCGAAAATGCATCCAGGTTCTCTAGGGGTTTTAGTTATTTTGGATGCCCTCAGAGGTTCTGGCTCGACAAACGACTCTATTGGGTGGAAGGTCATGAATCATTAACGATTTCGGGCTCTCGGCCTCTGGTTGATCACCTCTCTGGTACTGTTTGGCCTCTGTACAGTAAGATCTTTTCCCATGTATTGGGAACTTCGTGTGAGCATCACTGGATCCGATCTCTTCCCACGCGCACAATTGTTCGGAGGAGCAAAGGTCGGTCTTACGACCTGGTGTACTGGCCAACTTTGACGAAGATAATCATCGGTGTTACCAAATCATTGACACAATAAACTCTCTGACGCGTAAATCGTAACAGTTGCTGACGCATAGGACAAATTTTGCAAATACAAGCACTGATGTTCAGAATCTTCTTCCGTTTCACTGCATACCAGGCAATCGTTGTTCACCAGGGTACGCAGATTGCAAATATGTAATTCGATCCGTATCAACCTTACTTGATCATGTGGCCAATTATACTGTGTTAGTGAGACAGCCCTGACGACTTTAGGTAAAATTATTTATGGAAACGGTTCAAGAATCATATTTCTCTCAGAGATGGTGACTTCCAATGGAGACGTTAGTGTTCACAATTATGTTGAGAACAAATACGTTATGGTATCATACGGCAGTGTGAGGTAATTGTTAGCAAGCTCTGGTTAGATTCTTCTCGAAGAATATGGGGTAGAAACTTTGCTTTCAGGAAACAAGTTTTGTACAAGCAAAATCACAGCCGAGTTCAAAGATTCATATGGCGCTAAAGTAGTGTAACACGGAAGCGTTTTTTTTTTTTTTTTTTTTTTGCCGCGGCTGTTTTTTGTTTGCTGGCTTTGGGTTTGTGGTCAATCTGTCGTTTTCGATTTTATATTCACGTGTTGCTTTGAACTGATTTTGAACTGTACACTACCCACAAACCAGCGACTTTAGGGAAGACTGTACACGGAGCAGTTTAGGTGGTGGAAAGGCTTTTTTGTAAAGTTCTCGCAGGGGAATTTAACTCATTTTTTCTCCTTCCAACCATACAGAGTTTCCATATGTAATGTACAATGTTTTCCCCTTTTTTTCTGCGTTTGGTTGGTTTCCGTATGCTGGATTTGAGATGGCGGTCAATCTGTCGTTTCGATCATAGTTCACATGTCATATCGAACTGACTGTGGGAGGTGAATTGGGGTATCGAATCGTGACAAACCTTCTGCACCGTGCGTTTTCGTTTTCGGTCGTTCTTTACCGCCCGTCTCTTCCTCCTCCCTTTTCCTCCCCCTGAATCTGTCGTTTCCTTTCGGAGCATCTCGAAGGAGGGAGATTATCTGGGCAGTCACAATTAAAACGAGGGTCTAGATTTGACAAGCGGGGGCTCAGAAGTTTTTGTTTTGAACCAGGCTTGCCAGCGCGTAAGTGTTGGCTAACGAAAACCTGGATTTCGTGCGACTGCGCAGTCCCACATCACAATTGTCCGTGTGACTGCGTCCCTCCCATGTTCGCATCTCACCCGTTCAATCACCACCAATCACCACTCGATCATCCTTCCACTCCCATATTCCAACCAATCAGCCTCCCAAAACCTCGCCTTTCCCCACGTGGACACGACGTGTCCGTCCCTTCCGACGATCGGTTGGTCCCCGCCTAGACCTCGCAGCTCCCCCCATGTCGCTTCTCGTGCCCCTCCTGTCCCTCTGTCCCCCAAACCCTCGTCCCCTCACACGTGCCGCTGCCTGAGACCCCGTCGTCGACAAGACAAGTGCCCCTTCTCCCATTGTTCCCCCTACCCATTCCATTTCCCTCCTGCATGCTCCTGCCTGAGGTCCCTCCCTGCCCATACACAACAGACACTACAGAAGAGTGAGATCCTAGACACGTATTTCCTCGTCCCGATTCCTTTCTTTTCACGCGGTGTTGCTGCTTGAGGTCCTTCAAACCCATTTGTCCTCAACCTCCAAGCCTTGTCTGCCTCAGGTCTTCGTCCTTGTTCCTATCGCATGATTCGCGTCCCTCTCATCAGCTTGGCCATCTCGCTTCAGCCTGGCAAACGTGAACCTCATACACCCAACCTTCCCCCTGCGCCTTCAGGCGTTAACTCTAGACCTTGGATTCAACTCATTTGCAGTTTCGATAATCAGTTCTTGGTGAGATTCTACTCCAACAGAAAATGTCGTATCCGGTAAACGCCGACGATTTGCGTGCAGCACTAGAGGAGCTTCTCTCCACCCGCGCTCTGCTCTCTCGAACGAACGGCTCTGCTGCTTGCTGTGAGGAAACCACCCGACAATCTGACGCCTTGGAACACGAAAGTTACTCACAGCGAAAACCAAGCGCGACATCGTCGTCGACCCGCGTTGCACGCTCGGGCGCGCAAAGACTCTTCGCGCCACGCAACTCGTACGCCTCTTGTCAATTCGCCAAGGTGTCCATTGCGACACCTGACTGCTTCGACACCAGCGACATGCTCAACTCGACGGACGACCTTGTTGAGACTCCCACCGTCGATGGCTCTGTCTCGTGCCACTACGCATGCGCGGATTCTGCGGCGGACGAGGACGCGGAGAACGAGTTGCTGGATTTGGAAGAGTTCATGGCGGCTCAGCTGCGCGCCGATGGCGACGGCGACTGCGCGGACGGCGACGCGGATGGCGGCGAGTGCCACCTCGAGTCGTGCAACTGCCCGCGCAGCCGCAGCAATCGAATAAACTCCACCCGCAACTCAAGCGTTTCCGAGGCTGATCCCTGCAACGGCGACGCTGAATGTGACGAGGATGAGTCGTCGGGGTCCGTCGCAGGCGACGAGGATGACTCCGCGGACCATCATAGAGGCGACGATAGTACCACGCGGGATTTCGGCGTGTGGGAATCGCGTCGAAGCACGCTGTCGTGCAAAAGCTGGGACGATTTGGAACTGACGTGCGCAGATCTGGATGCTCAGAACGTTCAGATCCTAGAGTTGGACCTGACGCTCATGCTCAGACGTCCAGCCGATGCCGATGTTCGCTGCGACCTGTTGACTGTTGAGTACCTGGCTTCGCCCGCCGCTCCGGCCATGGCTACAGCTTTTTAAAATCTTGGAGCCGGAATGAGAGCTCTTTTTTAGCTTGTACGTATAGTGGCTTTTACTCCTGCTATGGTGGAAGCACGTCAATATTAAATTAAAGAAGCGAGAACTAAGCTTCTTGTCTCACCCTGAATTCGAAGTGTTAATGCTGATCTCACGGTGGGGAACTTACTGTCGTCAGATGCCTTGCTGGTCAATGTTTCAAGCACAACAGCAACACTATATACATCTCAAACAGAACGGAATGTTGGTAAAATCGAGCAAGATTCTCTCAAATCTGCTGCAGGTCAGCTAGACTACATCTTCCAGCCTCTAGAAGTCCAACCATAGAAACTAATGGAGTCATGAAGAACCCAAGCACTGCCGCCATCACAGCTTTGAAGATCTGGGGCCCTGGCCAGTCGGGGATGTCAACGTTTCCATGCCAGAGAGCCAGTAGGGGGACCAGGCATAACGGCCAATAGGGAATTGCAATAAGTGCAGAGCACATTGCTCCCCTAAGAACCGAAAGGACGAAGCGGAGGAAGCGATGTGGCCCTGGCTTTGGCTTGTTCGCGACGAAGTCAAAGTCTCCCCGGCAAAGAATCCAGCGTATGACCGAGTCCAAGAAGAGAAAACAGTTCCACGTGCCACAACTGTGGCCACTTGTAGGCTTTGCAGGGGGGGAACCGTCAAGTGCCTTGCTGCTGTTGCTATCAGCATCGGCAGCGGCGGCAGCGGGTTCACCAGGAGGAGTGACTGCACCAGAGGCAGAACCGTCAGCAGGGAAGTCTTGGAGTGGACGAGGTGCATGCTGATAAAAGATTGGCTGGATTCGTTCTGATTTCACATCCAGCCTGTGGGGAATGTGCAGGGAAGAAAGCGAGAGGGGAGGGGGGGGAGGAGAAAGAGAGAGAGGGAGAGGGAGAGAGAGAGAGAGAGAGAGAGAGAGAGAGAGAGAGAGAGAGAGAGAGAGAGAGAGAGAGAGGGAGAGAGGGAGAGAGTGAGAGAGGGAGAGAGGGAGAGAGGGAGAGAGAGGGAGAGAGAGAGAGAGAGAGAGAGAGAGAGAGAGAGAGAGAGAGAGAGAGAGAGAGAGAGAGATGTGGTGGTTGAGAGGCTCTGATGTTCATGGTCAATGGGCTCGTGCATCATCGCGACCAGACAGACCATCGGATTTCAAATGGCCTTCAAAACACTTGCATGCAACATCAACGGGCAGCGTGGTTTCGCGTCAACGAATAGACATCACATCCCTCGCTCGCCGTTCAACCACCCTCATTCTCCCACAGTTCGCACCCAATGCCGCAACTTCCATCCCCTCATCTCACCTCGTCAGCAGTCCAGCAATGACCCACGTCAGCGTGCCTTGAATCATGATCGTCACGATCGCATCACCAGCAAGGCTGTTCGGCAGCTCCCATACACGCACGGGATCGGGCGACCCGCGGTACATGGCCGTGGCAATGCCGAAATTAGCTCCAGCGTCTAGAATAGCGGATCCCACGCCTTGTACCACCAGAAGATAGATTATCTGCGAGCGGGAGAGCTGGCTCCATGTGGACCGGGAGAAGAGGAGGATGGGAGGACGATCCGGCTCGGTCGAGCAAGATGCGGGTTCGGGAGACATAGAGATGGCGTGGGCTTGGATAATGCGTCTCCTGGGGGCGAGAGGACTAGGTGAAACTAATGGGATGTTAGGAGGAAAACTTGCTGACCCCTCGCAGACTTAGTTTCTAAAGTTGTTGCGCACTCTGGCTCGAAATATGGCATTCCTGGGATGGCAACAGCAGTATCTCAAACCCGTCATCCTAGCACTTGAGGAAGGATTTGAATTGAACAAAAGTGTAGAAGGGTGTTGCCTGCAAACACCAACACCGAAATTCCATGTTCCCGGAACCAGACTTGATTGGGTTTGGTTGGTGGTCTGCTGGCATAGATTTCATCTGGTCTGGCTGGCCTCGATAATAACCCGCAAACTGGGAGTGCACACTCACACTGCGAACCTCTTCAGCTGACACCCTCGTTTATTGCAAGGAATTTCCCCTAATTCCTTACTCACAACTCCAACTACGTAAGACGACCTCGCGTCCACCGCGTAGCCTTCGGGATGATATACCTCAGCCGACGAAAACGGCCGCCCAATTTCGCGGTGGCGATAGGACAACGAACCCCCTCGGGATTGACGAGCTCCTGACGACATCCGAGTGGCAAACTGGGGCGACCTGGCAGTCCGCCGGGGCCCTCAACCCCTCGGGATTGTCGACAACCTGACGACCTCGATATTTGCTGAGAGAAACCTGAGAAGGATACCTCAGCGGACCCTGAACCACAGCTCGACACATCGTGCGCCGAGCCGCGATTACGGCCACGTGGCCTAGTAAGGACGGCCGAGATCGAGCCTGACAATCGGGAGGTGCCACGACGACGCCGACGTGGCCCCGCTTCGCAGCACCTGTATCTTTCGCTGCGCGCGAAACTTGGCCCGCCGATGAAAATTGTCACCATCGTCCACGCGGCGAAAGCCGAATGGCTAAGGCATGTACATGTGTCCACCATCTAGATAGCCAGAGAACGCGTGGTAATGAGATGTCGGTGTCGCCCGAAGATCCAACCGCAGCAGCACGACCCACACGGATGGTTCTGTGCGGACCAAACCCTGCATAGGCGAAGAGAGCCCCAGACTCAGGGAATGTCGGCGTCGACCAGGCCTCCGGCCACGCGCCTACTCGCAGGTCGATGAGGTTTGCGCGGGAGAGCAGGACGCTACGGCATTTCGGGAGAGTGGAACTAGGTGATTGGCCTATTGCACCTATTGCAAGTGGCGCACGTGAATTCCACCGTGGCAAGGCACCGGCGGGAGTGCCGTTGAGCGCAAAGCGGCGTGACACTAAACATGCATCGATCGTGACACGTCATGCACGTGCACTGCTGCGCTTGCAAAGAGGGCTGCGTGGAGCGCGGCAGGTGCGCAGTGGCCCGCATCCATACCCCTCTTTGACCACGCACAACGCTCTCATTCTGCCTGTTCCGCTTCGTGTTTCTCTCGTGCTCCTGTGCGCCATCTGGCACTTCGCTTTCTTCACAGGACCCTCGCTGTCTCTGCGGGTCTAGGTTACTCGACGGCCGAGTCGACCCAGCGGCGGCACTCAGGCGTCGACCTGGAATAGACTTCGATCGGCACTAAGGCGTCGACGTGAATCACTTCCGTCTCTGGTTTACCAATCTTTCCCTCTTCCACGGCCGGCGGTAGAGCATACGAGCGGTCATGGACGACGTCGACATGCCCGACGTTGGTACCCCAACCGACCACAGTCCGTCCTCTGCCCCCGTAGAGACGCTGAAGTTGCTTTACGATCTTGACAAACTTACTCAGATTCCCGAAGGGGTGTACACCAAGGACATACCGAATCCGCCAATTGGGGAGTTTACGAAGAAGTCGACACCGACGGCAGATGGGCAGCCTGGACCTTCGTCGGTTCCAGCCGGCTCGGAAAACCAAGATGATGACGACGACGAGGACGAGGAAGAGAGCGACGACGAAGTCGACGACCGTCCTCCGCGTAGCACAAATCCGCGCACCTTGGAAGAACGCCTTAGGCGGGAATTTGAATCCATACGTGACATGCTCAAAGAGGACGAGAAGGAGGACAATCAGCACATGGCGGTGCCGCGCGAAGGGTGGAAGGCGACGGACTTTGTAGTGGACGACATGGTGTACTCCAGCATTGACGTGCTCATAATGGACGCCCTACGACACCTACAATGCTTGGAGAAGAATAGCACGCTCAGGCTGTACACCGCGTTCATCTACCACTACAAGAAGTGGGCGGCGAAGATGCTGAAGCAGATACGCGACAAGCTCCCCCATGAGCAACGACTTAGGCACGTCGACGAGATCGGCCACTACATCCGCGACAACAAGAAAAAGGATTGGTGCAACGAGAAAGTGGTCCGCCGAGAGTACATCTGGCTGCACGGCCCTAAGGTCACCGAAGCCCGGCTGCGCGCCTACGTGAAGCAAATGAGCCGTGAGTGTAACCTCATTGCTGACCAGCCCGAGGAGGAGAACAATGCCACGCGAACGGGGCCTGTGAGGTCGACAACTGTGCACACGATCCTCGGCCGCATAAAGGCATGCCAGATGGCGGCGAGGGTGGAGGCGACGCTGTACCGAGAGAAGGAGCTGGGCATCATGAGGGAGATCTCGGTGGTGAGATCGGAGGTGCGGTTCAACGTCCGCCACAAGAACGAGAGGGACATCAAGTAAGTTGGTCGACAACCTTATTATATATCACTGTCCACAGTGAAGTCGACGCAGTCTAACAGATTTTCCCCGCCGATTTGCGTTCAGGAACTGCGCCGACCGTCGACGCGGCACCATCGGCGATACCTACACCGCCGAGCAGTTCCGCCAGATCATGATGAGGGTGCTGCCGACATGGGCGGCGTCGGCGTGGAACCCGCGGGCTACCACTCCGTCGCAGACGCTGTGGCGATTCCTGCTCATCAAGGTGCTCACGCTACTCTCCCACCACACTCTCCTGCGTGGCGCCAGCATCCGCGAGATCACGCTCCCCGACGTCTTCTTGTACCACCTGGCGAGCACCTCGGAGGTGAACCCGGATAGCCAGCCGGTCGTCATGGTGATCGCTGCGCGTAACTCGAAGACTTCCAAGGATGCCCGTCTTCAGCAGAGCTACGCTGCGCGACACCTGGAAGCGGAGCTGTGCGCCGTCGGCGAGACCGGCCTGTGGCTGCACTTAATCCTCGACCAGATCGGTCAGTTCTCCGGCACCGACTTCCTTTCGCCGCTTGACACCACAGAACGCGAACGCTGGTACAAGAAGCATCTCTTCTTCGCCAGAAACGACAAGGAGCAGGAGGAGCTCTCCTCCGCCACCCACCAACGTTGGACTCGGCAGATGTGGAGGACCAACAAGGTGTTCTGCAAAAGGAACGTGCACGCCGCCCGCGCCGGTGGTGCGCAGGAGCTAGCCATCGGAGGGACGCCGCGCGCCCAGATCGCCGAGCTGGGACACTGGGCTCTCGACAAGATGACGCGTGCGTACATCATGGCCATTCCCGTTGGGGTGGTGATGCAGAAGGCCGGCTACTCGGGACTCAAGCAAGACTACTTCTTGGGGCGCAGCAGGGTCGAGCCCTCCGACAAACTCCTGGACCTGCTCGCCGAGCACATCTTCCCCGGCGTGGATGCTATGCTGCGCGATGTATGTCACGCGACGCCGACAACGTTTTTCAGTCGTCGTGGCCTAGTTGGCTGCCCAACTCCCTACTAACCCACGCCACTTTCCGAATCGCAGGCGGAGACGCGTGCCGTCAACGGGAGCGACGCCGCTGCAGCCGCAGTGCACTTCTTGCGCACCCTCGTGATGTTCCGACGAATCGTCGCCGAGGACCTCGCGGTGAAGCTCGTCCGCACACCGTGGCACCCGTACGTCCAAGGTTCGAAGCTCTGCAGGATAGCCCTCTTCCAACACTGGGCGAAAAGGGTCGAGTCGGTCGACACCGATACGATAAAAAAGCGCCGGGACCCGACTCAGATACAACCGGAGGTGAGTTGCCGACCATGTCGGCGTCGTTGAATTTTAGCCGGTGAATTCTAACCTCTTGTCGCCTTTCCGCACACCCAACATTGCAGGAAATATCCGTGCGCATGGACACCCAGTATCACAACATGTTCCTCAAGGAGGCGCTGAAGAAGGAGGTCGAGCGCTCGGCGCTCGAGAAGCTAGGCTACCAGGAGACGATCGAGAAGCAAAACGACACCATCGCGTCGCTCACCGCCGAGCTTGCTCGACTCACCGAGGCACTCCGTGTGTCAGAAGCCCGGAGGATGCCGGCGGCGCCGCCGTCGGCGACCGATAAAACTCCGGGCGAGGGTGGCTCCGCGGATTCGGCCAACACGGGGACCGGAGCCAAGAGAGATGATGGGAAACCCCCGCCACCCCCCCAGACGGCAGAGGAGGCCAGTTACGAGCTCAACGTGGTGCAACCGTGGCGGGATTCAAAGACCGTGCGGGACGCTTGGCGCCTCTGGAACTCCCCCACCGCCAATGACACCCGTCGTCTTTGCGACAGGGTCGCCGAGCCGTGGTTCATCGACCGCCACACCCTCCTCAAAGGCGCGACCCAGGGTGCACTCAACATGAGGGTGCGCCGCATGCTGAAGGCCATGGATGCGGTGCGCCAGCTACGCGCGAGCGACGGCGATGCCGACACCGAAGCCGTGGTCGATGCACTGAACACGATCGCGGCACCGGGCATTGGGACCTTCTGCGATGCCCTCACGGTGCTCAACCCGGAGACGGCACCGACGATGTCCAAGGAGCCTGGCATGGGCGTCAAGGGGCTTGGCCCCAAGGTGGTCTCGAAGCTACGCCTCGCCTGTGCGCTGGTGGCGCTGGAGCTGAAGCCGACGACGTGGGTCGACCGCCTGTTTCCACACACCTGGGAGGAGCAGATGCCGAAGACCGAGGCCGACTTGGCCAAGCAGACCGCACCTGCGCAGCGTCCTCCGTCAAAGCGCAAGAAGTCGGCATGAACATCCTCGGTGCATATGTGTTAGCGTAGGTTGATGCCCTAATTTAGCAACATATGTGTTCCCAT